GCTCCCTGTCCTGGATCTCTGGAATGGAGTGGGATTACTATGACCCCTACTATATTCGTAGGACCCGACATCGAAGGGACACCAGACAAAATCACCACCTCCCAGTACTTTGCAGCAAACAGTACTGGGTATAATCAACAGGTGGCAAGCCACTGATACGTTATCATAATGTGACCCACCATGCATGGTATATACCATGCAAATCTATCAACTCCATGTATTCACGTATAACATTCTCATATTTCTACCTCACAATTGTTCAATTCAATCAATCTCCCAACTAAATTATCCAGGAGTACTGGGGGGCATTGAGAACTAGTCAAAGACAAGAGACCCAACTCCCAACACCAGCATAAACCAATTATATACCACCTCCACCATGCTCATGTAGACCCCAGCACCTCCCTTAACTGCACCACAACATGTTCATAACCTACACTTGCATGGTACACCCGCCCAACCATCACTTTCCCCAGCACAGGCACATAGGGTGCCTTCCCAAACAAACACACATAGATCCACGTGTTATACCACCAATGCAGCATCTTTATGACCTGCCCCGTCCTTCACCAGTCTATGGCACATTCCTCCCAACCACTGCTTCCCCAACACCGGCACATAGAGCATCTTCCCAACCAATCACATGTAGGCCTACATGGTATACCACCATTGCAGCATCTTTAGAACTTGCCCCATCCCTCACAAGTCTAGGGTACATCCTCCCAACCACTGCTGCTCCCACATATACACTTCCATCATATTCCCAACCCGTCACAGAAAGACCCATGTAGCTTATCCTCAACTAGTCCCACGCTGCCCAATGCAGCATCCCTACAACTTGCCACCACATACCCACGCATTACCTTTGCATGTAGCCAGAGTCCTTATTACACCTTGTAATAGGGCCCACATAAAACTGCTTCATATGGATTGTTATTGCAACATCTTCACAATTCCTCTCCCAAAGAGACAACTGCATGATCCCCATCACCCACCTCCTCCAATTGCAAGCAGAAAACTCTGCAACATTCTTACTACACCACACCTACGGAGTGCACACCACCCGACCCCAATTGCTGAATCACCTCCACACATGTACATTACACAACCCTCCATCCCCACACACCCAACGATGTGCATTTTATATAGACAATAGATATATCTCATTTGCATTGTGCTTAGAGGATCAATGTGGCTTTTTCTTTCTTCTTTATATTCTTTATCCACAAAAATATTGAACTTTTTTTCCTGCTTGTATAAGAATGGATACTTATACTTTTTATTACAAAAGATATCCACGATGAACTCCTGTTAATTCATTTAGAAATGTTACTGGTGGCCCCAACATAAAGGGGTTTGCCACTGGACTATTTTATTGAACTTGTGGGATGTTTATATGTTTTGCTATATGTATATAATATAAATTGGTTTCTTAGGTCACTCTTCCAATGTTGCCTAGGTGTGTCTGTGTATAAACACGTACAGAAACGAGTGCCCATTTCATCGCATGTTTCTCAAAGGCAGGTTCTTTGCACATCTTGAAATTCGCGGTCCTCTCTTGCACATCAAATTGTCCATTTCCAAACATAACCAGGAGCAGGCAAGAGACACTGGTGTCTGTATATTAAACTGGGCACTGTGGAAGGGAATTGCAAATTATTAGATCACAAATTACAAGTTCTAGTGTTTGTGATTTAGTGCCTTCTTTGCTATATTGTAATATTTTTAAAATTCGTATTAATGTTGACATCATCCATTATTTCCAACCCATCAGAACATGAATCAGATTTTAACACAACTCTTTAATTGTCTTTTCTTTCTCCTTGTTAAATTACTGATGCTTATGTCAGTATTTTAAAATCAGATGTTCACAATTTCTAGTGTGTCATTTTGTTTCCTTTTTATATGTCTTTTAAATGTGCAATGGCTTTGGATTCTGAGCAGCTGCTAATATTGAGATTGTCTTAATGACATAATTTCTGCTTCTGCGCAGAAGTGCACTGGTTATTTGGTAGGGCTCTCGTGCCAATTCATGCCATATATATTCTCTATATAACTTTGTATCAACATGTAATATTTTAACACAGATACAGTGAAAATGTGTATTTTTATTGTTAATTTATTAAAAATTCCAGAACTGTATTCCTTTTTTTTTTTTCCTGCCAATTAACACTTGGAGTGCAGAGTAAAAGAACTGGATTTGAGTTTAACTATAAATAGTTTTTTCTCAATCTCCTACATACCTGTATTAAAGTGAACCTATTAATTTTTTTTCCTGTTTGTGCCATCTTGTGGCCTTCCTTATTTTTTAGAAATTTCCAGATGTGTGGGAACAAATATTGCAAAGAGATTTGTTTGGTAGAGCCACTGGTCCACAAGTAACTACTGCTGTAAATCTCCGTTCCAAACGGGTTATCAGATATGACATTTATTAAGAGCCATCAAATTCCCCGGCGCTGTACAATAGGTGGATTAAGTACAACATACACAAACGGAATGGACAGAGGGCCCTGCTCAAACAAGCTAGCATTTGAATGAGAGTGGGGCACATGACACAAGGTAAGGGTAATCATGGCAATAGTAGTTTTGTTTGTGTAGAGCAGGGGTACCCCAAAGGTAGATCCCCAGATGTTGAACTACAACTCCCATGATGCTTTGTATGCATTTAGAATGACAAAGCATCATAGAAGCTGTAGTTTTAAAACATCTGAGGATCTACCTTTTGGGCACCCCTTGTTTAGAGGCTTAATTGGCATAGGCACAGTGGAATGTGAACGTGAAAGGTTAACTCTATGGAACACCAGGACTCGAAGGGTGAGATTGTGTAGAATTAATGCAGTCTATGAAGATGTAAATTGATGTGGCGGACTAAGTTAATTAATGGCTTGTTTTACTGTTTAAAATGCAACCCCTTATCTAGATGGTGATTTGGTTAATGTCACCGAATGCAACTGCCTCTTCCGCAGCCAGCCTTTCTGGCAAACTTCCTGGAGCTTTAATGGACAGCTGTGCATGGCACTACTCACCCGCAAAGCACCGGTGTTGGGCAGCAATGTCACAAGTACTATCTTGCTCAGCCCCTCTGTGACCACAACTCTTATCCTTTGCAGGGTAGATAGCTGAGAGGGAGATAAACTAAGGGATGCTCACCTTATAAGAGCTCCTTTCCTAGGTTACCTCCCAGCATACACATACATTAGCTCTCATCCTACCCATTGCTCATTATAGCCCAGAAATCCTGGCTGCACACTATCAGGGTGAGAATTGTTGGTGACTCAAACTTAAGACCAGAATAGTTGAAGTGGAAACATAGCTATTTAAGAATTTTATCCATCCCAGTTATTTTCACTTTGAATTTGTCTATTCTCACGTTCGTGAGCTATCCTGTATGGCTCTATCACAAGGTTTGGCAGGCCTTACTTGCTCCAAGGGCAGAAAAGGAACTCCTTTTGAATTTTCTGCATCCTTGAGTTTCTCAAGCACAGTCTCAACAAAGGGTTAGCTGCTGCTACTACTCTGCATGGTCATATATACCTGTCCTCTCCTGATCTCTCCCTGCCCATCTTGACACGTGTCTCTGACTGCCTCTCTGCTATTTACAACTGGATGGCTGCTCGCTTCCTTAAACTCAACCTGTCCATAACAGAACTTCTGGTCTGGTCTGGTCTTTCCTCCCTCAAGTGTTGCTACTCCCGTATCTGTCTCCCTCCAAAGTCAATGGTGCTGCGTAGCTGTTCTCTTTTACTTCGACCTCTCCTTCACCCCTCATGGCCAGTTGATATCCAAATCCTGTCACTTCCATCTCAAAAACATAGCGTACACTGGCCGCAGCTACAGTGCTGGTCCATGCTGTTGTTCTCTCTTGCCTTGACTACTGCAATCCCCCTTCTCAGTGGTCTTACGTGTTCCAAGCTAGCACCACTGCAATCTA